GAGCGGGTGGAAGTATTAGAGACAGACACAAAAAAAGATGCTATCTGGCAAGAGTGAAGTCGTGAAAAAACGGAAAACGAAAAAAAAATAAAAAAAATTGATTTTTTCTAGAACAGCTAGAGCACCTAGAGCAGACCAATCAAGAACATATTCTAGTGCTTTAATAAGATTAATTTGCTACTTTGCTTTTACCTCTAGAAATCAAAAATTTTCTAGAACAGATTTTTCTAAAGCAGATTTTTCTAGAGTATCTAGCTTCTTCCTATAATAATATATTTTTGAATAATACTTATCTACATATAAATTACACATCCTATGTATTGATACAGTGGGTTTCCCACACCATTTGCAAGGGTTTTGCTGTCACCTTTTCTAATGGATTTTGCATTCTTCTTGTCAATTACAAACCTGTCTACACATATTCCCTTTATTAGAAAGATATTGGCAGATAAATTCACCTCTGCTAAATTTTTATAATTATTTTTTTTTATTTAAACTTTTTTTTAAGACAATATATTCTGAGTTTAGGATATAGTATACCTTTCAAAAGTTATCTAAAAAATAACCCAATCCTCTGAGCTCTTCAATATATCTTTTTTTCAGCCAGAGGCTAAAAAAGATAAAATAGCCGGTAAGGTAATTCACTACTCTGGTGAAGATTATTTGATAAGTATTCTAGCTCATAATGATATAGTCACAAAGAATGATAAGTAATTAACCACAATTCTTGAAATTGCTTTATCTAAGTGTCAAGATATTCCATTTATAGCTGTTGATGTGGAAGAGTCCACCAAATTCATAAATGGTCAGGCTTGGTATGTATTGCATTTTTATGGTTCTCTTATTAATAGACAAAAAGCAGTTGTTTCAATAACAGGAATTCAAGTCTTCTTTGATATTCTCATGCCAGAAGACTTATCTTCTGATTTGTTCAAAACAAAAATAAGAGCTATCCTCTTTGGTGTAACAAAATGGTTCAGAGTTAAGCATATAAAGGCATACCTATTTTGTAGTTATCATCTTGATAAAAAGCTATATTTGTGCATTTATATAACTAATACCAAGCAAAGAAAGTTTGCAATGAAAGCAATTCAAGAAAAAAAATACATTACAGCCTCAAATGACCAATCTACATATTATCATAAAGTAGCTCATGAGTATGGTATTATGCTTTTAGGTTGGTCAATGTTAAGAAATTATAAATATTTGTCAGGAGGGAGTTCTCTTTGTACACATGCATTTTATATTTCAATAAAAAATTTTTATTCTGTCAAGGATGTAGTTATATTGAAAGACCACTTTCCAATCTCGGCACTTACAAGAAATTGTATACTTGTCTTTACATAGAATATAGAAACTTATAGTTCATGTGAAATAGATAAATATCCTGTGGC